TTTTAAAGATCCATTTTACCTAAACCATGTTTATAAACTTTCAAAAGTTTTATATGGTTTGAAACAAGCTTCTAGAGTTTGGTATGAAAGATTGGTTTTTTGGTTTATAAATGGTCTTTTTTAGAGGAAGAGTTTATACTACTTTGTTTGTGAAAACCAAAGGTCAAGACATACTAATTGTCCAAATCTATGTTGACAATATTGTATTTGGTGCTACTAATGATTCTGTCTGTCAAGAGTTTTCCAAAGTTATGTAAGATGAATTTGAGATGTACATGATGGGTGAGCTTAACTTCTTCTTGGGACTTCAAATTAAACAATCCGAAGAGGGCACCTTCATCAACCAAAGCATATATACAAAAGAGATGCTCAAGAAGTTTGGTATGGAGTTTGGTAAGCCAATAGCTACTCTTATGAGCACTTCAATTAATCTTGACAAAGATGAAAGAGGTAAGCTTATTGATCCCAAGTTTTATAGAAGAATGATTGGTTCTTTACTTTACTTAACCGCAAGTAGACCAGATATAATGTTTAGTATTTGTTTACATGCTAGATTTCAAGCTTGTCCTAAGGAGTCACATATAGTTGTGGTTAAAAGAGTCTTTAGTTGCCTAAGGGATACTCCTAACCTTGGTTTATGGTATTCTAAGGGTTCTTCCTTGAATTTACATTCATATTCAGATGCGGATTATGTGGGGTGTAGAATTGATAGGAAAAGTACAAGTGAAACTTGTCGATTTTTTTGGTAATATGCTTATACCATGGTTTTCTAAAAAGCAAAATATTGTTACTCTATCCGCAATCGAGACCGAATATGTAGTCACCACAAGTTGTTGCGCTCACATGCTGTGAATGAAACAACAACTTTTGGATTTTGAGATTACCATGGATTATATTCCCATTAAATGTGACAATACTAGTGCTATCAATCTCACTAAGAATCCCATCCAACATTCTCGCACAAAGTACGTAGAAATTTGGCACCATTTTATTAGAAATCATGTTGCTAATGGTGATGTTGATTTATTATTTGTTAATACTAAAAATCAATTAGCAGATATATTTATAAAAACATCTTGATCATGATAGATTTTTCTTTATCAGAAATGAACTTGGCATGTTGGATCCTAGTACTTGATATGGTATTTGCATTGGATGTGATTACTTGTTGAAATTTATGCAAATTAATGAATTTGATATCTATGTTTTGATTGTAAAATCATGTTACTCGAATATCTTAATATAAAGATTATTGTTTTTTATGCTTAAAACATGATGGACACATTGATATATGTTTATGATTACATGATTTAATACTTGATATCCAACTTAAACTTAGTTAAGTGGAGAAAGATCAAATTAGTTGCATTTCCTTCAAAACAATCTCAAAACTTTCATTTTTTCCTGTTCAACCCAATATG